CCAGGCTGGGCTCCTGTCTGTGTCACTGTGCCCAGGCTGGGCTCCTGTTTGTGTTACTGTGCCCAGGCTGGACTCCTGTTTGTGTCAGTGGGAGTCAAGTGGCGCTGTGCCCAGGCTGGGCTGTACCCTGTCTGTGACACTGATTGCTGACCTCCTCTCTCCCAGCACCCTCATCCCTCTCCACCATGTCCAGGGGGCTCCGGCGAGCGCAGGCTGGCTCACCGACACGGGCGCCGCGCCCTGAAGGCCAGTCTGACCCTGGGGGTCCTGCTGGGGCTGTTCTTTGTTGCCTGGCTGCCCTTCTTCATCTCCAACATGGCGCAGGTCAGACTGGCCATAGCAGTGTGTGCAGTGTAGCAGAGTGTGTGTGTAACTGTGTGCACAGTGGGCATGTGGGAGTGTGTATTTATAACATTGTGTGCGCAGTGGCAGTGTGTGTGTGCAGTGTAGCAGTGTGTGTGTAACTGTGTGCACAGTGGGCGTGTGTCTCCCTGGGCACACACAGCTCTTGCTCAATGGCACTACAGTGCCAGATGGATCCTCACTCCTGTCAGCTCCCCAGTCTGCAGTGGCCAACACGCACACCCCTCAGCCTGTCCTCCGGGCCTGTGCCGGCGTGCGTGGCAAGTCTCATGGCAGAAGATACAAAATTACTTTTGTCTTTTAAATCTTAAAGTAATAAAACACTAGTATCAAGTCTGCTATCACCTTGTGTGGAGTTTGGAATAGTGAATAAAAATCGATTGTGTCAGTGGGGTTTGTGCTTTGTGTGTGTCTTGTGTATGATTCTCCTGGCTCACTGCAGGCGGCCTGTCAGTGTGACTTTTCCCCAGTGTCTCCTGTTTCTCTCTCTGGGCACCCAGTCCGTGTTACAGAGATGCAAACTCAGATTCTAGCAGGTTTATTGGCATGACCGATGAATAACAGTGTTGCTAAAGCAATAGCAAATGACAAACAGCAAGACATTTACATAAAACGTACTTGAGATGCTCAGTCTCTGTTCCTCGGGCTGTGACAAGATCACACACTGGGCTGCAGCTCTAGTGAGTTTCCTCCCCCAGTAGGATTGGAAGCTGTTCTGATTCTGGCAGGAGTGGGAATTCTGAGATTAGATTTATTTTAGCTACAGTATAATTGTTTGTGTGGTTGTGTTTCTTGCAGTGCAGCAGAAAGTGCATCTCCATTTTTACTTCTTCCTGCTGGCGGTGGGAGCACAGCCTGTTTCTGTGACCAGGCTGTGGTCACTGAGCCTGTCCTCCGTGTCCAGTTTCTGTGTGTGCGAGCGTCTCCTCTCTCTTCAGGTGCTGAGTGTGACTCTCTCCTCTCTCTCCAGGCGGTGTGTGAGTGTGACTCTCCTCTCTCTCTCCA